TCTTAAGTGCTAACAAGCTAGATTCTATACTCTTTGCTCATTACTGTATCATTGCTGCTTATTAAAATATTTTCTGAATAAATGAATGAATGAATGGAAGTCATCCAGGACACAAGGTAGATATTGGAAGTAGGAACAGATGAGCATTCTGGGAAAAGAAGATAATAGTTGCAATCAGAATACAGTAAAGTGAATTTTATATTGAGGTAACCTATTGGCCAGCATAGTCCACCTATATATTTCCTGTCGGGGCAGAAATTAATTCCAGGTCATGGGCAGCCTTGAGCTGTAAGGGTTCCTATCTGCATGAAAGGGCAGGTAGAGTGGGAGGGAGAGATCACATCTGGCATATTTAAAATTAGGGAAGGAGCTAATGCTGTAGTGGAGAAAGCCCTGTTCTGTAAGTAGGAGACCTTGTTTCTAGTCCAGATATGATAATTGTTTTGTTCTGTCACCTTCGGAATGATGTGGTATGACATTGGAGAGGTCACCATTTATGTTTGCATTTATTTACATAACTGTATAATGAGATAATAAAAACATTCTCCTAATGTGTATTAAAATGAATGAGCTAATAGAGGTAAAAACATTTGAAAAAGTATACAAAGACTTTATAAATTGGGGTTAATATTTGCCCAGAAGATGGGAAGTTCTTCATTTTTAGAATTTCTGTTCTTTTATTCATAATTATAAGTAAGAGTTATCTAATTGTAAAAAGAGTCGTGGCATAAAAAGCCCTATCCTCTATGGCCACTATATTCTAAGTTTTGTAAGGGCCTGACTGTATCAGTTTTACTTACTGTTTATCCTCTGCATACAGGGTCTAGTCGGTACCCAGAAATTATTTTTGAATGAATGGTAAAGTGAATTGTCATTGTGGTTGGCATTGTATGATTTCTTTGCCTTGTCGGCATTCTACGGAAAGGAACCATCTGAGGTAAAACTCTTGATGTTTGTGTATATTTTCTTGAATTTCAGCTGTGGCAGAAGTAAAACTTCGAGATGATCAATATACACTGGAACACATGCATGCTTTTGGAATGTATAATTACCTACACTGTGATTCATGGTATCAAGACAGTGTCTACTACATTGATAACCTTGGAAGAATTATGAATTTAACAGTGATGCTGGTAAGAAAAACATATAATATTAGGATTTTCCAGTAAATTTTCCCTTTAATCTGATGTCCAGAGAATTGAGGTATATATACCTTTTGTATATGGAATCCTATGTATGTAAGACTCCATTTTTGCTTAATTCAATTTTAATTTTTCTCTTTGTTCCTGTTACTTACACTTATTTATTCACCTCCAATCTTGATGATGCAGGGGGTGTCCCAATGAAGGGAGGAAAGCACTCTGAATTCCCCAAGTGGGCTCTTGGCTTCAAGTGGGAAAGAATTCAAGCGCAAGCCAACTAGCAACAGAGAATTTATTAAGATAGAGACAGACAATAGATCCTACTCCACAGACAGAGTAGGGGTCCTCTCCCAAGCAGGAGGAGGGGTCCTCTCCCAAGCAGGAGAAGGACCCCTTATGGGGCAATGGTAACGTTTTTAAATGTTCAAAAAACCTGTTGGGAAACAGCCATTCATGACCAGCGTTGTCTTGAGGTCAGGCCATAAAGGTTAATCATAAACTGCTGTTACAGAAAGGTAAGCACAGTGTGTAAGGCATCTCACTTAGTAATTCATCCATCCTCGGGTGGTCCTGGGCTGGTGACTTCCTTGTTCAGAGTGGTTAGGGTCTGATATTGGTCAAAATGGCTGTACTCAGGCTCCCTAGGCCTTCCTTTTCTGCTTTATCCCTACATTTTCACCATTGGGCAAACACTCTGACGGATTTTATGTATGTATTCATGTTGATGTAGATGTTTGTATCTGCTTTTCCTATGTGAGGTGGTTTCCCCAACTGTAATAGTGGATTTGTCCTTTTTTTTGGTAAATTTTTGCTTCATGTTTTTTTAACTATGTTACTTGGATATAAACATTTAGCATTATTTAATCTACAATGAATTGATTCTTTTAGCATTATGAAATGTCCCCTTTTATCTTTAGGTTCTGGGAGTAATTTTTGTCTTGAAATCATCTTTGTCTGATATTAAAACAGTCATTTCTGGCTTAAAAAAAATCTTTTTCTATCCTTTTTCTTTCAATTTATCAATGTCCTTGTTTTTAAAGTATGTCTCTTATAAATAACATATAATTGGATCCTGTTTTTTATTCAATATGACAATCTGTGTCTTTCAATTGGAGAGTTTAGTACATTGACAATTAATCTAGTTCCTGATATTCTTGGGTTTATGTTACCATCTTGCTATTTCATTTCAATTTGTCCCATCTGTTCTTTGTTCCTTGGTCTCTGTTCTTACTTTTCTGGGGGATTGATTAAAGTGTTTATTTTTAACAAATTTTATTAAAATTTCATTTTATTTTCTCTTTTGACTTTCATTTAAACCTGTTTGTA